GTTTGTTCTTATCTGTCTCTCCAGTTATATTGTAAGCTGCTTGAGATCAGAACCTATATCACGTTTGTCCTTGTGTCTATGGTCACCACTTCAGTTCTTGCCATGTACTAGGCCCTCAATAAGTGGAGGCTGATTTACACTCCCAAGAAATTAGGTCAAGGGAGTCTTAGAGATGTAGTTCTCCTTTCAGTTAAATCTGCATCTTAGTTGGTTTAGAGAAGGCCAGTTCCTGAGACAAGGCTTCTTCCTCAGCTTTTAAACCAGCCACCCAGCAGTCCAAGATGGCAGATTCCCCTAACTTGCATCAACCCAGGCACCCTTAGATAATGCAGTATTGTTCTAGACAATGTAGTTGAGATATCAATCTATATTACCATTTTACTCTTCCTAGATGAGATGACAGTGATGAGCCACCATCACCAAACAATACATTTGAATGTTTATTTTTTTTACCCAGTAATGATGACAGTTCCCCATTGATTTAGTCATTCACTTTCACTGATTTCTCTGGCCATCAGTGAAGGGAAAACTAAAAGTGCCAGGACTTTCAACTGTGAACTTGAAACTTGGTGACACAAATTTATCTTCCCTGACCACCTGAGCTATTCACAAACTATGGTGACAAAAAACCCCAAACACGTGTATGCACTAACTTTCTCTATGGTGGCAAAATACTGAATATGCATAGAGGTGAAACTATAAGTTTATTTCCACTGTTTTGATTACTGAAACAAAAATCTGTTTTAAGGTATATTTTCCAGTGAACTTTCTAATAAAAATTAAAATGGAACTGTCCATGACATATGATTACCATGAAAGAAATGTATACCTTATTATCCCTTATTAGAATTTATAATGCCAATTAAACAACATCATTAAACAAAATATTAAATTATTAAAGATTAAACAAAAATATTAAAAGATGTTTAGGTGGACCAATGACAATTAAAATGTTTAAATATTTAAAATATTTCCCAAGTTTTAACCTGAAGGTGGGAAAGAGTAAGCAGAAAACCTTTTTTTCAACTATGATGGTTATGGGACCTAGGCATTACCTGAGGAAGCACAGACTTTTACTTCATTTCATTTTGGGTTTTCTTTAATCTTAAACTGATTTCTCCCTTATTAGCTTCCTAAAATAAAATAAGGGGGAAAACTAATGTTTATTTTATAAAAAGATATTTAGGATGAAGTCAAGAGACTTGGATTTTAATTCTGTTTCTATTAACTACTTACGAACCTTGAGTAAATTATTAGTAAAATGATGGGAATGGATGCCCTTTACATCTTCTAATTGATACCTAAATTCTGTGATTCTTTCTAGTAAGAGCCAAGCATTCCATTTGCAGCTAAATGAGGAAGAGTGAATTTCACAGTCAATCACATGTAAAATCAGAGAATCTAAATGTTTCTTTTCTGTAGGATTTTTCATTGTACACTAGAGTTGATCTTATGAGAGTATCACTTTGACAACACTGTTGTAAAACTTTGGTTGAATCATCATGCTAGTTTTGAAAAATTCGTTTTGCTTATTTGCTCTTTGAGAATGCTTTTTGTTAAATAGTCCTTGCACTATAGAATAAAGTTAGAAAACAAAGTCATTTGTAAACATTTATGTAATCATTTGATACTTACAAGAACAATTTCAGGATTATTTTGAATTCATAAAATTTGAAGCATTTTGTAATATACAGACTCATGAGTTTGTAAATAAAATGCAAATATCCATAAATATTGAATAATACATCCACAAATGTAAACAGGAAAATAAGAGAAATATATATTAAGCTATGAAAATATTTTGTGTAGTCATCCCTTGACCAAATCTTCTTGCCTTCATAAGACACGAAATCACTTGACTCTTTATCTAATATTGTAATTATAGGTGTGTGTGAGCATGTGCATTTTCTTTCAAGGTTTTGCTTTTAAATTTGTTTAGAATTTTATTTAGGTCAATTAGCTCACATAAAATAGTTTGCCTATAATCCCCAAGTTTTACTGAATAAAATCAATGTGCCACTTCATTAAAAAATATTTGTATTTTTATTGCTGTAATTAAGGAGAAATTTCTTAAAATCCAAGTTGGAAAACAGCTGTTATGCCACATACCAAAATAATACAGCTTGTATTTAGTTAGCTTTACTTGAGTAAAGAATTTAAGCAAGTATCCACAGGTATGTATCCTTTCTATCTCTCCCTTCTTGCCTACTTTCTCTTGCTAGGCACCCTTCCCTCTCTCTCTTCGCTACGCACAAGCCAAAATACGGTTTTACGTGGAACATTCAACTAGTAGCAGTCTATTAGTGAAATAATCTATATCATTTCCACAATTTTTAATTTCTCTTTACCAATTTATGATTCCTCTTTACCACTGTAAACATTTAATTTCAACCCACCCCATCCTCTTATGAGAATTGTAAGATGCAACTTAAAGAAATGCAAAGATATGCCGTTCAAATATTGGTATGCCTTGTCTCCCCATGTGCTATACTTAACTGTTTTGGCAGAGACTTAATAATGACAATGGCATTAAGTTTAGGCAGATCTTCCTGAGTTCCCGCTCACCAAGAGTTCTTAACAGAAATCCTGCCACTGTTTATGGCAGACTGATTATTTGCATTCTCAGAGACAAATCAAAGGCCATTTGAATGTTGCACATTTTATGAGCATACATCCTTACAAAAGGTGTGCACTTCTGACATTGTTTAGAATTTGATGTTAATTAGAATTATATTAGCATATACTGCTTTGAACTTATCATTAACACAACTGTGGGCAATAATTGATCAAAGTCAGCGTTGTACTTGCTTTCCCTTTTGTTTAATGGAAATGTATATTTTCCAATACAGCTTCATAATTGCTGGACATATTGCATATAGTAAGCATTCCACTGTTATCCGAAAGGTAAACGTATTTAGAGAAAAACTTAAATGATCTTTTGATTCAGCTAATCTCTATCTACCTGATATGACCATGTGTGCATATTTGCAGTAATTACAAGTTTAAATACTTAGCTTGAATATTCTTCATAGTGAAGCACTAAATTTAACCAACTAAAATTTCTGAATTTAGAAAACCAATAATAAAGTCATTATTCACAGCCTCTCCTGATTTTAGATGCAGCTGAAAAACATTTACTGAAAACCATCCCTTGCCAGTGAGTTGCTCAATGCATTTCTACCTATGTCTACACAAGAAAAGAGGAATAAAGGCTCGGATACAGTTTGAGTTAAAACAAAATTTTAAAAAATCTTGCCATCGGGGAAGGTAAGGTTTTAAGACAATCTTCACTAAACAAATTCTCTAGGTAATTGCTCAACTTTCCCTTTCTATTTCTTGTGTAGGCAGAGATTTGCTTGTTTAAGATGAGGACGCATTCTCTCTCCATCAACTTCAAGAAGAAGAATGCCAATTTCATTACTTTCTCAAAATTATTTAAAAGAATAAAAATAGTATCACCGGGAAATTTATATTCATATACTACATACTCAAATGAGACAGCTTTCAAAGTTTCTAACATCTATTTCTGAATACTCTTATCTGCATTGCTTAGAACTCAAGCCCTATGACCAAGGGTTCTAGAGAGTAAAATATGCTGAAATCAATAACTTTCATCACTTCTTTAAAAATTAAATCAAAAATTGTGTGTGGGTAGCTTTGTTTTTAAGATTTCAATACACAAGGAACCAGGAGCACACATTTTAGTGTTTAAATCATCTCTCCCTGCACCACTCATCCCCTCATCACCTTGCTCATATTCATTCATTGACCACAACCCCCTTTCCTGTCAAACCAACTAGAAATACTGAAACATTAAACATGGTTTCAGAAGAAAGGTCTGCTGCCCTAAGAAAACTTCTACAGAAAGACTGTCTGTATGCTAAGATACTGCACAACACCTGAAGCACCCATATAGTGCAGAAGCTTTTTAGTACAACGTTTTCTGATCCTCCTCTATCCCTTTCTTAGCCACTAAACCTAAAGAAAAATAAGGGCTTTGGCTTATTGCAAACTCAGAGAAGATTTTAAAGGGTGAGTTTGGTGCTACTCTCCTCTCTTTCAAGAAAAAGCTTCTTTATTCTCAAGAGTTGCTGGGCTTTTGATAGTGTTGTTGCTAAAGCAGATTCATCACCCAGCCGGGTGCACGGTTCTCAACCTGGAATTAAGACCGATTCCGGAGGAACAAGTAAAAATAGGGGCGTTCCCTGTACCCAGCTGACTCCTCTAAATTAATCCAACGAATCTGAGCGACGTAAATAGTTGTGCCCTTTAAAGCAACAATAGCAAAAAGTTTAGTCGGAATAGGTTTGGTTTTTGTCTTTCTTTTTTTCATGCTTGATCATCCCCTAAACAGCCCAGGTGCTAAGAAACACATAAAGTAACTGTACAGAAGCCAGGACCACCGCGCGTCTGTGTCAGTTTTCTGAGGTGACTGTCAGAAAAAGCTGAGAAGGTACCACCGTTTTCGAGGGAATGAGGTCAGAATTCACCTACAGAACCGTTTCCTCTGCGAAGGAATACGGCGGGACGGTGGGGCTCCGCAGCCGGGCTTTGGAAAAGGAGGGAAGGTGGGTCAGGGGCGGACTTTGTGGGAAAGGCTTTGTCAGCGCGAAACCGGGCACAGGGTGGCAGATGCGGGCGTCTGCGGGCTTCCAGAAGCGGGAAATCAGCAGGGGGAGATGCGGAGACGGTGAGGGCTGAGGGGACGCTGATGGGGTGACGGGAGGGTCAGGGCCATCCACGGCTGCTGCGAAAGTGGGGCTGGAAGGTGAGGCGGGACCGCGAGCTGCCCCAGCTGTCCCCGGGAGGGAGAGGGGTCGCCAGCAGGTTGAGTTGAAATCAAAAAGCCCCCGGGGAATCACGGAGCAGTGCCCTTCCGAGACCCTGCCTGGAGGTTGAAGAAGCACAGCAGGTGGTTTGGGGATACCCCCCAACGCCAAAGAGGTTATCTCAGCTTGCTGCCTGGGCGCCCGACCCCCTGCGCTCTCCAGGCTACTCACCGGTCCGGGGAGGAAGGCGCCATCCGGGAGCGCGTGAGGGCTGCGCGGCGCAGGCGGCGGGCAGGGCCGAGCGGTGGCGGCGGCGCTGTCCTAGAAGAGGGACTGGAGCTGGGGGACGCCGAGGCGGCGACAGCGGCGGCGGGGACGCGGGGAGCAGCGGGCGGGGAGGGCGGAGGATCCCGAGCTGCTGCGCGGCGCGCGCTCACTTCCCATCTCCAGCACGGCTGAAGCGGCTACTGCTGCCCGCTCCGCGAGGGAGGGAGGCGAGGGGGAGGGGAGGAAGCACGCGGCTGGGAGGGAGGGAAGCGAAGGGAGGTGGGGGACAGCGAGGGGAGACGGGAGACGGACGCCCAGAGTGGGGAGGAGGAAGGGAGGCGCGCGCGACCCCCGCAAAGGTTCGCACCAGAAAGGCTCGGGGAGGAGATCTCCGTGAGGAGGTGTTGGGTCTCTCCCCCGCCCCCCACCTCCTCTCCCCTCCTTCCCCCTTCGCGCCCTTTCCTTGGGCTCTTCCTCCAGTGGCTCGGGCTGGGGGGCGGCCAGGCTCGGCAGCAGCCTGGGCTTCAGCGCGCGGGTAAGAGTGCTGAGGCCGCGAGGCGGCCGCGCCGGCTCCCAGCGCCGCCGGCCTTAGGCACCTGTGCGCGCACACACCGCCGCCTGCCCCTTTGCGGCGGCTCCCCGGCTCGGATCTGCTGGTAGTCGCCTTGCCTCGCTCTCCTTTCTGGTCAGATTATGATCATGCATGTGCATCCATGACATCTGTGTACCTCCCCCCCATTGCTATTTGCTTCCCCGGGAGCTCTTTGGCACAGGGTGTCCGGCCAGAAGGAGCCGCCGGCGGGAAGCTCAATGCAGGCAACCATCGCCAGCTCCTTGGAACAGTTGCTTGGGCACGGGTGGCGGTGTTTATTTGCCTCCCGAGTTGACCAACCAACGCGGTAAAAAAAAAAAAAATATATATATATATATATAAATAATAATATTAGTAATCCTATGACTCGATTGCTTGGGACCATTCTTGGTGATATAGGAAGGTTTCAGTATGAAGGGCACAGGGGCAGTCTATTGCCCTCTGTCCTGGCTCTCCTCCTCCCTTTTCTCAATATCCTAAAAAATCAGGACACGACTTAGCCAGTTTAATCGAAATATTTCTAATTTTTTTATAATTGCAGAGCTTTTCGTTTTTATCCAGATTCTCTTAAGATTGGCCTTGCTTTCTTGTTAGGACTTGCTTGCCTTTATTAGACTGTGAATCAGTCCTGTTTAATCGCAAACTACAAAGACTCCTATGAAAATACTGTATTTAGCGCCTGTTCACTCATAAGATTGAGGGGGTGAATCCACACATTCGGTAAATATAAAAACAACTGGACATTATTGACTGATTTTCGTGAACCATATTGTGTTTCATAATCTTCACGTGTTAGTTGAAGATAAGCAGGGAGCAGGTAGATTATCTGTGTAAAAGATATGACTAGAAAAAAAAGTTTAGTAAAACTCTCCTCAAATAATATAACATGTAAAGTGACAGATTTACTCCCTGTGGAAAGTTTCTGATTTTGTTTGTTCATATGTATTTAAATTATTAGGCTTTCAGTTACTTAAGAGTCATCTTTTAAATGCCAAAAGAATCTTATCCATTAGAATAAATGAAATAGGCATTTTATTTTACCTAAGCTGTTTTACAATTATAACAAATGTACTCATGTTAAAACAGTTTCACACTCAATTGTAAATGCAGTATGGAGAAACATTTTTAACGCAATAAGGCATACCCAAATATTGATGAAAAGCCTCTAGCTTTTCCCATATACATTCATATGAGAAAAAAAAATGTTGGTGATAAAGTAGTACTGGATAGTCTACGTATTCTCAACTTACTAGAATCTGTCCTGCAGAGTTTATCTGCTTATCAAAATATTTGTTTTCTCATTTATCTGATAATCTGAATGAGAGAAGCACCTCCTCATTAAGGGAACAAGATATATTAAACTCTCCTAACACACCTCAGCTTTAAAAAGCATGTTACCGTCTCCAGGTGTTCACTGTTGTACCATGCAAATTTGCCATATGCTGTTCTTTCAAAGAAGACCATAGAAAGGAAATGGTTGGTGAAGACTTACAGCTCATTTGACTCTCTAAGCCTTCTCAGTTGTGTCTATTACAGAAGTGAGCAGTGCATTTTTCAAATACTAGTAGCTATTTGAGCAAAGAGTGGTTACGGAGAATTAAATCTCTATTTTCTTACCCCTGTTTAGGATATTCCCCATTCCTCCCTTGCTAAGGTAGTTCAACTTGGAAAATTTCTACTATTTTCCTCCTATATTTGATTATCAAACTATAATAGCGATGTCTGTATAGTCTGATTTTATGCTTGTAAAAGGTAAAAAAAAAAAAAAGCAAACTAAAATGCTTTAAAGCCAAACACAAGAAGGGGTGACATATAGAGCACAGCAAGACCAGGTTCTAACTCCTTACTCCCCACCCACTTGGCCCACCAGAGACAAGAATAGGATGATAAAAGATGGAATGGCCTCCCAGTTTTCCTGCTGGAGGACTTGGATTTCAATTTAAATTCTCAGGCTGGATGAAAACCTTTCTGTCACCCCTACCACAGCATTCTTTTCCTTTTGTATTTCCTTCCCTTTCTACATCTTTATTAGTGTTGCATTGTGCTATTACATTGTTTCATTGAACTACATGTTGCTTTACAACCTAGGAAGCCAAGTAAGTAAGTAAAATACAAAGCTTCGTTTTAAACACCGACTTGTATTTACTTAGTTGAAAACAAATTCTCACATTAAAATTTTCTGAAATTAGAAAGATTGAAAACTCTGTCTTTGAACAAGTACTGCACTGGTGTCAAAGATTGGTTAGCAAAGAAAATATAATTTATCTATTTATTGAACACATATTTAATAAGCACCCCTTGTGGGCAGGTACCATGTTAGGCTCCAGGGATACCACAGTGAAGAAAATTGGTAACTGTGCCCTTGTGAAGCTTAGAGTCTAGTGATCCAGTAAAAGTGTTTTATCACTAAGAAAGATGTTATGATGATTATGATAAATTTTAAGCCCAAAGAAGAAATATTTATTAATTAAACTATAGACATCAACAAGATTAAGGGTAAAGGAATGCAGACCCTTTGTAAATCCCAGATGACTATTTTCCCCTCTCCTTTTCCCAGGAAACTGGAGGAGAAGAATTTAACTCTGTTAATTATGAGTAATAACAAAAAAAAAGAACAGGCACAGTATCAACACAAAAATAATATAAGAAAAGACTTATAGAGGAGCACCAAAATGTACCAAATTGTTGAAAAACACACACCATAACAATGTTGCCATGGAGAAATTGAAAAATTTGTCCTAACATTCTGCCATGAATGTTCATAAGGGCACAATGAAAGAATTGCCTCCATGAATGAAAACTACAAGGCTTTATGCAAGAGCTTGGTTGGGCAAAGTTGAAGCCACAATAGGAGCTGATGACCGAAAGCTGGTAAAACTTATGAAAAAGGTGAAGCTAAAATTAAAACCATCACAAATGAAGACTTAATATGGAAGAATACACACAGAGGTAAACACAGTAAGGGAAGGAGGGCAAAACATAAAGTCTAGTAAAATGAACTGGAAATTAAGAAATGAACAGGATTAGAGAGACTATGAAAAATGGAGAAGACAGGCAAAGGTAATCCAACACGTACATAATTAGAGAAGTTGAAGAAGACAATATAAATAATGGAAAAGAATAAATCTTTAATGTAATTAAAGAAAAAATTCTTGAAGTGAAAGACTTGAAATTTCATTTTTAAAGGACACAATGATCACTAAAGGAAATTGTCACCACCAAGATGTATCCTAGTACAGTAACTAGAATTTAAATATAATAAAAAAATATTTGGGGTATACAGGCAAAAAACCCCAATAATTTATAAAGGAAAATATTGAGATTGGCCTCACTATAACATTCATAGCAGAATAGAGCCATCCAGTATCAATGGAGGAAAGCCCACAAGATACCAAAGCCCACAAGATACCAGCATGAGAGTTAAGTCTTTTTCTATTTAGCCAGTCCTTCAAATATCATAGGTGTAAACAAAGTTTTGAACATGCAAGAACTAAGGGAATATTATCCTCATGAACCTGTCTTCAGAATAGAGAATGGAATTTAGCTTTCTAAGAGATAAATGGAAGAGATATCTTGGATCAAGGACTGGCTGTGAGCATTGAATGTATCAACTATTGACCTGAAATATGAGAATGTAAGAATTAGAACAAAATAATAGAATATAGATCTCATAGACCCAGACAATATAATACTAATTTGTCTAAACAGAATTTGGATGAGAAGGGCAAAAAAAAGATGAGATATAAAGGCATTGATTGTCTAATGGCTGGAAGTCAAAGAAAATCATTCAAAGGAACAATTAAGTCGTCTAACATATTTAACAATACAAGGATAAACTATAATCAAGATAATATTAAATGCTAATTTTTATCATTACTTATTTTAGCAAACTAACAGATACAGCCTATAATAATGGGAAAATGCAGTTATTTCTAAAGAAATAAAAGTAACAAGGAACAAAATAAAAACCATAAACATTGAGAATACACACGCACAGAAATAAATTTTAAAAAATAGACCGGAGTGAAGGAATTTTACAAAGTTAAAAAGCAAAAACCTAACGTAAAGTAATATGGCAGAACTAAGAGTAAACATACCCTTCATATCATTAAATGTGAATAAGATTATCTCATTCTCTATGAAAAAGTAGAGATTTTTAGATTGGATCACAAAACAAATATAATTTTATGTTTTATATCTACAACAAGAAAACTCAGAATGTTTGGAAAATAAAAGGATAGACAAACATATTACAGGCAAATACACACAAAAAGCAAGTGGGAATTGCAATCTTGATTGGAAACTACATGTCATGCAAACCCAAAACCCATTAAACAAGATGAAGAAGGATATTCTATGGTTATAGTAATGCATACTTTCCTATGCATACAAAACAATTATGAATATCTATGTACCAAATAGTATAGCGCCAACATAAGTATATCAGAAATTATAATATATACAAGAAGATAGCATGAAGCCCACTATTAGCAGGAGTCTTAATACTTTTAATATATGAGAGTTCACATGTACAGATAATAAATAAAGATATTAAAGTTTAAATATTGTTTACTTTTTCCAGCCCAACCTGACGTAGGAGCATCAATGGAAAATCCTAGTTAAAATATTAACTAATAGACCCTAACACATTGAGTGATTAATAGAACATTAAACAAA